TGTTAGTATCAGAAAAGCAGAACTCCCCAAAGTCTTCAGCATGGTTGATATTTTAAGAAAACAAGTCTCTCAAAGTATTTGCTTAATAATAAATCTAGCAGAGTCCAAGGTTTTTATTTTGCATCGTACATTTGGGAGAAGAGAAGAGTACAATCCTAACAGATAGGTATACAATTTAAGAAAACAGAGTTGTCAGTTATAATGTTATTGTTACCAGAGCAAGAAATTATCAAGTAAGACAACTGGTCAGAATTCCATTTTATTTGGATATCATTTTCATAAGACATGGAATAATTTCTAATGTCTTTGGAGTCTCATAAGACCACTTTGTTTAAATTGTTCTTCCAAGGGCGGATTTGTATCAACAGAGAACAGAACAAGTCAGTAACAGTCATGAATATTCATACAAAACTGTATATTGCAAAGGAGAACATAAATTATATTCTTATAAACATTCTTGGTTTTGTACAATATCAAATCAGATTCCTTGAGCCCTTTTATAACACAGAACAATATCTTTTGATTTATAGCTGCAGGGGAAGTGAACATCTTTTTCAATTCTTTCTGAGACTTGTTTCCTTTATTATGAAAACTTATTTTTTTTAAAACCAGGCTCTGGAATTCCATTAGCTAGGATTATATGCAGAAAACAGTTCTTCAGAGCTCAATTGTGACGGTAAAGAAAATGTGGTAAAGGCTGGATAGGCTTTTATTTGCTGTCGATATTTTAATAGCCTTTTTCTTGTACTTGGCCCACTGGCCACAGCTTTGTCATAGAGCCACCTCTGGATGTACAGGAGGCAGAAATATAGTTGTTGGGTTTTTTTTAAACTGGGGAATTAATCACCTGAACAAATTTGAAATAAAGGGATACACAGGAGAGTGGTTATCAGGGAGGACAGTTCTCAGAGTTTGTCTGAGACATTGCCGTAAAAGAGATGGACGTATAGGGGTGCTTAAGAGAGTCTGGGAAGGGAGACTTCTTTGTGGTTCTGGAGATCCTAGAAGGCTACTTGAAGGAAGTTAAATTTGACCTGGACTTAGAAATTCGGAGAGACAGGATTTGAATGTGGGCAGAAGGGAGAGTTGCAGAAGGATGCCATGAAAAGGAGAGTGGCCTGAGTAAATATACAGAGACAGGAATGTATGGACCATATGTGGAAAGATACTTTTCTCTTTGTCAGGCAAAGAATGGCAGAGCGTAGGGAAGGGAGCAGTGGAGATAGGCCAAGTGTGGGGCAAAATCATGGACAGCCTCAAATGCAAGGCAAAGGGGTTTGGAATTTATCCTGTCAGCCATAGAAATGTCTTTTATTGCTCAAATACCTTTTTTTTTTTTAGTTTATTTATTATTTATTTTGAGAGAGAGAGAGAGAAAGAGAGTCGGGTGGAGGCAGAAAGAGAGGAAGAGAAAGAGAATCCCAAGCAGGCTCTGTGCTATTAGCGTAGAGCCCAATGTGGGGCTCCATCTCACGAACAATGAGATCATGACCTCAGCCGAAATCAAAATGCTTAACCAACTAAGCCACCCCAGTGCCCCATTGTTCAAATACCTCTTAAATATATCCCGTCCTCTCCACCTCCATAGCCACGGTTCCAGCTCAGGATGCATTATCTTTCTGTTAAACTATTTCTTTCTCCTTGATGCAGATCCATAGTGATCTTTATGACACCCCATGGTTCAAACCTGTTCCCCCATGGTTCAAAAACTTTCTGTGGTTCCCATGATTTCCTAATCAACTTGGGAGAGAGGCCAAGCTTCTCAGCCTGGCATTTGAGGTCCTTCAAAGGGGGAGGACTCAGAGGTGACAGCTGGAGGGGAAAGAAGAAAGACATGGTATTTGGACTCTAGAGAGACTCATGGAGACACTGCTCTATCCTTGAAGCTCCTCAGCCTCTGTTTCCATGAGACTCCTGATTCTCTAGGCAAATGGAACCTAAGAGTGACTGAAGAGACAAAAACCCCTAGTGGGCTATGAATTTACCTCTACCTCCACCTCATGCCACTTCCTGCTGACTCTCTCCTCATCCATTCCAAATCTTGCCCTCCACAACATACAGATCTGGCCCTCTCTTTTCCCTGAGACCGTTAGTGCTGATGACATTGCCACTGTCATGGTTCAGTAAGTGGAATGAGAGGTAGGGTGGGAAGTGTCTGAGGAAGCCAAGAAAGGGTAGGGGTGAGGTGGGTATGGGTGGGGGGTGGAAGACAGGCAGGGCTGAAGTAAGGTGAAGAGGTTAGACATAGAGAATTAAGTACTTTATAAATAATAAATAATAGACCTCTTCCATGTGCATATTCTGTGACCCACTGTGGGTCCCATTTCATCTACCCAATAACTCCATGAGGAATTATTGTCCTCATTTCACAGATGAGGAAGCAGGCTCTGGGAGATTCAGCAACTTGCCTAGAAATTTCTCTGTTGGAGTACCCAGGTGTTCTGACTCCTAGTGCCATTTTAGTGCCACACCACTCTAGAACTTTAGTGATAATAAATGTATACACATCTTCTCTCTCAACACCATCATCTGTGTGGTGGGTGTCATTAAGTCACATCTTAGAGCAGAGAAATAGCATGGTGAATAACATGTGAAAAGCCAGTCCCAGGCTTGATGCTGTTACTGCTTTCTCTGTAACCTGGACCAATGCCTTTAACCTCTCTGAGCCCCAGTTACCCAATGTGTCTAAGGGACTATAATAAAATCATCATGAGGATGGCTTAAGCTGATTTCTATGAAGGTATTGAGAAATCTGTAAACACTTACACAAGTCAGTATTACTACCGTAATTTTAAGATGGCATTGCTAGAAGTGGCCTCAAGAACCATGAAGTTCACCACCCATCCATTTTGTACAAGAGAGAGCTGTCATCTGGTAAATGAAGAAGGGAAGAGAACAATTGTTCACCTAGGAGCCAACAGCTAAGTTCCAATCTACAATTATTATAAGGCACCATGTGCATCTGGTTAATGTATCTCATTCTCACAGCATTGCAGCACTGGTAATGTTGTGCCTGTTTTTCTGATTGAGAAACCAAGATTCAGAAGTGGGGCTACATGGCCAACTTCACAAGATACAATTACTACCAACAATAAGAACAACAAAAAACCCAGAAGACTAAATTGGGGTGGTGCAGTTAGGGGTCCACAAGACCACCCTCAGGTTCAATGATTCACAAGAAAGATTCCCAGAACTCAGCAAAAACTGTTATATTTAGTTACGGTTTATTATAGCAAACAAATGGAGATTGAAATCAGCAAGGGAAAAGGCATGTAGGGCAGTATCTAGGAGAGACCAAGAATGAGCTTTCAGTTGTCTTTTCCCAGTAGAGTTGTGCATACAGTATTTACTTCTCTTGGCAGTAATGCTTGGCGATATGCATAGTACTGCCAAGCAGAGAAACTCACCGAGCTTTAGTGTCCAGGGTTTTTTATTGGAAGCCTGGTCCCACAGGCATGGGTGACCTTAGTCTCCAGCTACTTCAGAGGTCAAGCTGATACCACATGTGACCCAAGGTCCCCACCAAAAATCACACTGTTCACGTAGACTACCTGGCATGGTCCATTCCCCTAAGTAAATAGACACTCTTATCAGGTAAGACATCCCAAGGGCTTAGAGGTTACCTCCCTGGAGCTGGGCAAGGGCCAGACCTTTCTAGGGTAAGGTTAATCCTTTAATGTACACGTAGGATATTGGAGGGCACTAGCGTCAGTTTTTCAACTTGAATCTCTCTCCTACAGGGTTACATTCTGTGTTTTGGTGGAAGTCAAGAAGGTACCAGTGGAAGAAGTATAATCTTTTGAATATTTGAACTTCCCAAGGAATCCCCAAGCAATTCTGTGCCTGTGGCCTACTGGCTTAATAAAAATATCATGTCCCCCATAGCTATAAATCAACTCAGTGCTACCATAGATGATAACACCAAAGGCACATTCCACACTATTTGGAATCTTGAAGCACAAGCGTGTACCCTGCTGATCCATAATGTACTTAAAAGGGACATCATGACACACTTATTCTGTACAGATATAGAACACAAGAGTTCTTCCTGTGGGAGGATATTGAACTCTCCATATCAGGTGATATTCAGTCTCATGCAGTGGGTGGTTTGTAAAGGAAGAACTCCAAGAAGACATATTGGTAATTGTGTGGTTTTTACCTCACAGGGCACTGGGCTTTTTAAACCTTAGGTATTTCATTTTTACAACAATAATACAATGACATAGGTATAATTGATAACTTATGTTTCCAAGTAGAAATGGCAAAGAGAAAGGAAGTGACTTAGCCAACAACATCCAGCAGATAAGAGGTGGAGGCGGGAAATGATCACAGATCTGCTGGGAAGGGGCAGAGCTTGAGGGGAGAGTTGGATTGGGAAGGAAGACAGCATAGGAGCTGGCCCTAGGAGGTCTGGATGGGGGGACAGGTAAGGAATCATAGGCAATGTAGATCCTCAGAAAATGCACTCACCCTCAGTCTTCAGAGTGCAGTGTCCAGGTTCAAGCTCTTCCTCCTTCAGCAAGTCTCCTCCATTTGCTCACCTACAAAGTGCAGAGAAGGGAAATATACTTGTGAAAATGCAACAATCCCGGGTTCCATGAGGTTATTGGGGTGGAGGGGAGGAGTACCAAGTAAGCTAATGGGTGAGAAACCACTTTGTAACTTGGAAATACTGTGCATCAGTTAAATGTCCATGAGGATCCCTTGTTTCAGTCCCAGTCTGTCTTTCCCTTCAGACCAGACCCAGAAAGCAGAGCTCCACGACCTAGAGATTCTTGTGGCTGGAGATCCTGTGACCTTGACCTGTACCATCAAAGGCACCTGTGCAGAGAAACCAAAGCCCTTTTCCTTTCCTGGAATTGGCCCACTCTGTCCTCCAACACAGACGGCTCCAGCAACTCCTCCTCCTGGTGCCGCACTTCACCCCAAAGCCTCAGGATTATGGCACCACTCTCAGATGTTATTTGAACTTCTCCCTAGCTAAGTTGACCAGAAGTAGCATGGTCATGTTCCAGGCGGTCTGTAAGTGCTGGTGGGCAAAGGAAGACGCAGAGTCTCAGAGAACTGGTGGGCTCAAGAGAAATTCCTGAGTCCTGGGGTGGGGCTGGGTGGGAGGAGTCTGGGAAGCTGTCACATCTTCTCAGGGCTTCTATGGCTGGAAGGCCAGAGGTAAGAGCTGAGCCAGAGTCAGAGATAGATGAGGAAAGAGGATGTAGGGTAACTGGTCTGTGAAGTCCTACTCCTCTGGGCTTCCAGAAACTCTTTCCAAAGCTCCTTGAGAATCATGAATAAGGAAAAGGCTGGGTCCTGAAGGACGTAGAAAAGGGAAGTCAGGATACCTTGCTGATTGCTGACCTTCCCTTCCCGTAGCACCCACTAGGCTGCTCTATTCATCTTGCTCCTTGGAGAAGACTCTACAGTGCAACTGTTCCTTCCATGGGATCCCTACACCCTCTGTGCAGTGGTTGATGGAAGGTGTTCCTGTGGATGTGAACAGCACAGACAACATCTTCCAGGTGACTTCCACCATAATTGGCCCCTGGACCAACAGCACCATCAGCCTCATAGGGGAGCCAGAAATAGTCATGAGTCTCCGCTGTGAGGGGAAGAACCAGTATGGAACCCATACTTCAAGCATCTTCCTCCTACCAGGTAAGTACACAGGGGACTACTGACTGAGCTAGAATGACAGCACCTGGGGACCAAGATGAGGATGGGCACAGGGCCAGAGGGAAGAGGAGTAGCTCAGACTTCACAGCCTTAGAAGAAAAAACACTCTCACTTCCCTCTGATTCCAGATAAACGTTCAGTTTACAGTGTGTTCGTGAAGGGGCTGATCCAGGGCATTGTGTATGGATCCATTGCATCGGCACTGTTCTTCTTCTTCCTTGTCCTCCTTGCGTGAGTATCAGGTTGAAATTCATCATCAAGCCTTTTCCAACACCTACTACATTTATTTATGTCCCTTATTCCCTTCCATTCTTCTCCAGTATTTGCCTTAAGGCTATAAATTTCCCTCTAAGCACAACTATAGCTGCATCTCACAAATTTTAATATAAAGTATTTTAGTATCACTTGGTTAAAATATTTCTAATTTCCATTACGATTTTTTGACCCATGGGTTTTTTCCTCAGGCACAACAGCATTCTCTAATAATTCTCTTTTCTTTATTTCTACCTTAAATCCAGTAAGTGGAAAGAATATACTATGCATGATTTCAATTCTTTATTTTCTTTGTGGCACAATTTTTGTGTAGTTTTTATAAATATTCCACATAGGCTTAAGAAATGTATATTCTATATTTGTTGAAGGAAGTGTTCCATTGATATATAGCCTTTAAATCAGGTTTACTGATCATGTTTACATCTTCTCTAGTTGTACTGTGACCTCTACTCGATGCCCTTCTCTGCACGTCACCTCGCATCCCTGCCCCTTTCTCTCACCTGGCTGAAATTTAGTCATCATTTAGGGCTCAGCTCACAGCCCTCCCATCATGCACTCCAGGAAACTTTCCCTGGCACCTGGACTGGGTGCGTTTTCAAGGCCCCCCCCCC